CTCAGCCTCCTAAAGAGCTAGGATTACAGGCGGGAGCCACCATGCCTGGCCAGTACTGGCTTATTAGTGAAGTCAGTGGGCTATGGAATAAGCAAGGAGCAAAAAAGATGCCAAAGAAATGATGAAAGATAGAAAAATAATCTTAAGGCCAGGCACGGTGGCTCACGCCTGTAATCCCAGCACTGTAGGAAGCCGAGATGGGATAATCACAAAGTCAAGAGATCAAGACCATCCTGGCTAACATGATGAAACCCCACCTCTACTGATAATACAAAAATTAGCTGGGCATGATGGCACAGGCCTGTAGTCCCAGCTACTGGGGAGGCTGAAGGAGGAAAATCACAGTCACCCAGCTGGTGAGTGGCAATGCAGGAAAAGAGCCCAGGTTTGGCTGACTCCAAAGCCTGTGCTCTTCCAACAATGCCACCATGCTCCTTAGAAGGGCCAGTGAGAGAATAATGGAAAGACAGGAGAAAAGAGAATGAGCCAGAAACAAAGCTATAGCTAGGAAAATAAGGCCGGAAAACATGAGGTCAGGGAGAAAGAGAAGGGAACCCCAACTTTTTATATACTTTTTATTTTTTGAGGCGTCATCTCACTCTGTCACCCAGGCTGGAGTGCAGTGGCATAATCTCGGCTCACTGCAACGTCTGACTCCTGGGTTCAAGTAATTTCTGTACCTCAGTCTCCCAAGTAGTTGGAACTACAGGTGCGCATCACCAAGCCCCCCTAATTTTTGTATTTTTAGTAGAAACAGAGTTTTACTATGTTGGTCAGGCTGGTCTTGAACTCCTGACCTCAAGTGATCCACCTGCCTTGGCCTCCCAAAGTGCTGGGATTACAGGCATGAGCCACCACGCCCAGCCTCCAACTTTTTAAAAGACATGATCAAGGAGAGCTTTGGAATAATCCCACCTTGAACTTCACAGGGATTTTAGCTTAGGGGTAGGAGAACAATACAGAAACTCACGTTGATGACAGAGTCCTTGAATTTGATATGCAGCCGGTAGTTACAGATGGCAATGAGGGCATCGGCTGCCCGGCCCAGGAACTCTACTCACTCGCCCTGCAGCACTGTGAAGGGGACCAGTCAAGGGGCAGAGAAACCCTCAGTCCAGAAGTGAGTGACCACCTCATCCTCCTCTACAGCCTCTGCTCTGTGGAATTGCCTCTGGAAAAGCTCTGGAAATGGTGGACCAAGGCAGGAGAGGAGAGTACTCTCCACGGTGAGAGCACCAGGCAACAGCTGAAGAGGAAAGCTGCCTTTCCTTCCCTGGGGCCAACAGCTCCAGGATATACAGACAAACCCTCCTCCTCCTGAGACCACAGAGCAGGAAGCCAGAGCTCCAGTACCAGATCCCCTTGAAGATATTTGGGGGAAGGGAGGATTTTTTTTAACTGGACAGGAAGCCCCATCTATCCTGGCCCCCAACTCCTCCTTCACTAGTTCCTTGGTGGGGAACAGATGCTTGGATGTACTCCAGGCTCGGGGGGGGGGGCGGTTCTGGTCACCAGAGGAGGGAAAAGAGACCTGCCTTGGTTGGAGACAGGTAAGCGCGAAATGGAGAGAGTACTCAAGCTTATTAAGCCTAAGGAAAGAGTGAGGCCCCAGGAGGAATTGGGAACCTGCACTCTTCAAAGAAGGACTCTCCTATACAACCAACATTTCAAAAATGGAGGAGAAAACTAAGAAAAAGAAACACTCTTTTCCTTAGACCCATGTAAGGGTAAGGCAGGAATGGGGATGGGAAAGTGCTGTCCTGAGGAAAAGGAGCCAGGTGTGGCAGCTGGTTACAGAGAGGAGGGAAATTAGGCCCCTGTAGCCACTGAAGCTTCAACCTGGTGGGTGAGGAAGACAAAGAGGAGTGGGTGGGGGGATTCAGTCCCATGCCTCTAGAGGGCCTTCACTGATGCTTTCAAAAGGAAGATGTGTTTAGGAGCTGGGCTTATCTTCTTGTTAGGCCCACACTGCTGACAAGCCCCCATTACCTGCCAAGTAACCTACTCCGCCTGCTAATCAGGGGGGAATTCCTGAGGAATACCCACGGCAAGAAGAAGGAACTCCCCGCCCAACCACCAGGGAGGGGACCCGAGGGGATCCACGGGCCTGGGAGGAGCCAGGAGACCCAAGGACAGCCAGGGGAGAGAAAGAGAGAGGAGGCCTGGCAGACACCACGGGGAAGGCGGGGACAGCTGAGAGGACAGATGGGGGAAGCTGGGAAGGAGCATCAGCCAGCGCGGGAGGGCAGGACCGGGAATGATGCAGAGGTAAGGAACCGTGCAGAGGCAGGGAAGATGGAGAAGAGAGGTGGTGGAAGAGAGAAGGGACTGGAGCCCCAAGCCAACGAACAGAACATCTCGCGCTCCCTGACCAGCCCCCCTAACATCCCTTGCAGCCTACTGGCCACATCCCACATCCCCAAGCAAGGATACAGTGGGTGGGACCAAGATGGAGAGGCGAAGGTAAAGGGATGTACCCCCGCAGGGCGGGGCCTGGAGATCTGCAGTTAAGGGCAGTGGCTGCGGGGCCGGGATGGACCACAGAATTTCCATTCCTGGCCTTCGACCATCCCCGGCACCCAAAGATTGAAGCAAGTCCAAGAAATAAGAATTAACCCACCTTCCCTGCCCCTAAACGTTCGGGGTCGGGCCAGAGGCCATGGGAAGGGGGATGGGCTGAAATCGAGGGCTGACCCTGGGGTAGGCTGTGGGCACAAGCAAGCGTCGGTCTCCTAGGCACCCAAAGGCAGGGTGAGCACTTACGAAGCAGCTAAGCATGGAGCAGGAGACGCGGGCAGTCAGGCTCATAGTCACGGGCGGTCTGGGCCAGCGCACATGCCCCTGGAGCCGCTGCGCTGCCCGCCAGCCCCGGGCGCCCGCCGCATCCCGGCTGCCGGGACCGCCAGGTGTAGCTGCGGCGGCCAGGAGGTGAGGGCGCTGGTGGCGGGCCCTCAGCACGGCTCCCGCACGCTTTTCACAATGGAGCGGGCCCAGCTCCGCCCTCCAGCACGAGCGCGGAAGGGCGGGGAGCTGGGCGAGGGGAAAGCCCGGGACGCAGCGGGAAGGCGGAGGCTGGGGTGGGAGGGGGGTCCGCGAGCCCCACCCACAGCCCCAGGCTCCTCCCTCCCCGGGACCCTGGGCCTTGTCCGAGGGCGTACCCTACTCCAGGGGCCTTTAGGGGCTTTCAGGAATCTGGGCTATGTGACCGCCCAGACAGACGGCCTGGAGCAGAAAACAAGACCGTCTACATCTTCTCATTTACCTTTTTTCCAGGTGGGCCACCCTATGCCCTCTTAGAAACCCATCCCCATGCCCTCCCCTCCTCTCTTAAGTTCCCCCGACACCTGCTCTGGATCCCAAGGTGGAGCTCACCTACCCACAACCCATTTGCTTCCTCCTTTCACTCCAAAACCACTACCCACCATGCCCCTGCCCATCAGGGTCTTTCAATCCTGTGACTTGGCTAAACCCTTCTTTCCCCTTAGGATGGTGCCAGGTTAGTCATTCCACGCTCCTGGAAAGGGAAATGAGCTTTTTATTCCAATACCCCTACCAAACCCAACTCCTTCAGCTCCATCTCTCCCTCGTTTCACATTCTGATCTCTGGGTAAGAAAGTCCTTCTTCAAGGAGAAAGGATTTCTTAGTCTGGGAAAGAGAAGAGCTGGAAGTATGGACCACAGAAGTTATACAAAAACGAAACTTGAAACTCAGGAGCACGGGAGTAGAGAGAGTTGGGTAGAGGGCCAAGGAATAAGGAGCAGGAAGAAGGGGCTCAAAATATCACCAAGAGTCACAGAGGGAGCTCGCTGGAACTCCAAACTTCCTGCACCTGGTAACTTTCAGACACCAGGGCTTTTGTCTTGTCTGGGGGAGAAGGGAGGAATAAAAGAAAACCTGACATTTTATTAAGCATCTACAATGAGCCAGGCAGTTTCTAACTACCTCACTAAAACTTTTCAAGCCCTCAAGAAGGAAACCATGTCCTGTCTTACTGGCGAGACTTAAACTTCGAGAGAAAGTATTCGGTTTACCTAAGTGGTGTGCTAGGATTTGAAATCAGATGAAGCTGACTCTGAAGCCAATGCTCTTTTCACACTATCCCAGAAGAGAAAAGGGCAATCTGTTGGTGGGAGCCCAAACCAGCAGGCTTTCTGAGAAGAGACCGAACCAATAATGCACACACCAAATCCACATCTCTATGGAAGGGAGGGAGGGAAGGAGGAAATCCTCTCATCTACTGAATTCTTTAACCTGCCGCTAAGCACAAAGGACACCCAAAAGAAACTGAAGAGATACCACCAGGTTAAGGGCCTGGTCTGAGCCAGGGCCTATAACTCTCTAGGCCTTTCCCATCTCACTGCCTCCTCCTAGCTCTCAGGAATTACGGCGTTCCCTGGACTAGGGGTGAGAGAAGGGCAGTTACAATTAATGGAAAATTCACAGGATCATTGCAAACTACCTCTAGTGACATTCTGGGCACCCTGAAGATGCTATCCTGTTAGATATTCAGTCAGCTGTCACCTGTAGTGGCTTAACAGCAGCACCCTGGAGCTGGAGAAGCCCCACAGTTTTGGTGAAGTCACTCCTGATATAGCATCGACAATATTCAAAGGACCCACCAGAAGTCCAAGGATCCTGAGATAAAGAAGGCCTGGCTTTTCAGACCAGAACACAGAGATCCTGCCGGGGACGCAAGAAAAAAAGAGGAGGGCTGTTATGAAGAGTTAATAGAGCCAGTGTGGGCAGGTAGTGTCAGGAAAGTGTGAGGCATAGAACATGCAGAAAAACATTTCTAGAAGCTTCCAGTCCCAGTGCTGAATACTGGCTAATGTTTTGCAATCTGAAGAAACCCTAATTTATCTCCAGGGCAGATGAACCTGTTTAGGAGCTGAACAGGGTAGCCTGGAGCTCAAGGTCTAGGAGAGGTGGGGCAGCTTCACAGAGAAAGACACAGGGATTACAGAAAACACAATGGCCTGAGGAAAGAAAGAGTACTCACCATTCCACCATGGCAAGGGTCCTGGCTGCCTGCTTCTCACTATAAGAAGACAGAGGAACATAAAAGTAAAGAGCCCCATCAACACTACCATGGAATCAACAAATGCTACCCATCTACCTCTGACCTTCTCTACACCATAGTCTTCTCCCTTGCAGAGACCCTAGTCTCTCCACAAGTCACCATACCAGAGAGAGGCAACGGGAGCTACAAAGGGAGAAAGGAACAAGTGATTCTGCAGGGCATAAAGTCAGCCACAAGGTTCTGGAGCAGGAATGAGTGTCATCCAAGATTATTCACCAGAACTCAGGAGTCCTGATTCCCAGATGCAGAGGGAGAACACTTCTTTGTGGGACAGCAGAACTGCCAACTCTGAAGAGACAAAGGCTGCCCAACTGGGGCTCATTTTGGGCCCTGAATCTTTGGGCAAAGTGGCAGTGGCTGAAGGGACATGAATCCACAGGAATGTCTTGCCAGTCTCTGAGTCTCGGAGTAGTACCTACCTGACCTGTTTACTGGGGGCAGAGTCCAAAGTGGGACAAGCGCGGGGTAGGGGGAGACCACAACCTGTGATCAGAGGGCAGCAGGGCTGCACAGGCACAGGTCCTGCTGAGTGTACTTGACACCAAGTTGGGTGGAGGTTATGGAGAGGAGCCCACACAACAGGAATAGAATCAGGCCAATTCAGGCCTTGGAGTCAGCATCTGTCCAATGAGCCCAAGTAACAGGGATTTCAGGATGGGGCCTCCTAGGCTTACTTAGGAAGCCAGGCCCAGGTTTCACTGACACTTTCCTTCATGCCTGCTATCCTCAGGGGCAGTACAGCAGAGCCCTATGGGAGACTGCGGGGATAAAAGCCTCCATCTGTGGTCCTGCCCACCTCCCTGTTCACAGTACCCTCTTCCCTAGACCACTCTCCCTCATGGGGGAACCGGCAAGAGGCAAGCCAGAGGTGCTGCCTCACCGCCCACTGACACGCAGCCCCAGGGAACGAAGGGAGGGTAGGAGGGACAAGGATCAGGCCTGAGAGGCCCAGGGTTTTCAGGCCTAGGAGATCTGGTCCCGGGGGGCGGGCCAGGTTGGCAAGGGAACTCAGGTGCCCAGGTCCTAGGGGCGGAGCCTAAAGACTCGGAGGCGGAGCCCCAAATGACAGAAGGCGGGACTCAGGAAAACCTGTGGGGGCCAGGGCGGAGCCGGGAAAGACGTGGTCGCTGCGGTTCCCAAGCTCGCAGTGCAAGGGGCACGGTGACTCACCCAGGCGGCGCCCGCCCGACCCTCCGAGGCCCCGCTCTAGCCACTTCCGTCTCCGTAGCTGCTGAGGCCGCGCTGTACCGACCCCACCACGGTGTTCTTCTCCTCAACCAATTATATCTCTAGCCTGTGCCCGCCCTGGCCAATAGCCTCGCCAAGTCCCGCCCTGCCCTCAATCACACAGCCACCGCCCTCACTCTCGAGGCTACTCATTGGTCGAGACGGGCAGACGCCCTCCCAGCCTTTAGCCAATCGGATACCGGAAGACAAGACTATACCTGGAGGGAGGCGGCGCGGCGCCGGAGAAGAGACGCGACCAAGGGGAAATCACAGCGCGTCCTTGCGGTAGCCAATAGGAGAGCAGTAAAGAGGGGGCTACCGGCTACAGCTCTGGGGACCGGAAGTGGGGGCGGCTAGTCGCCTACTGGTAGCGCAATTGGAGGCGGGCAGTGTAGGGTACAAGCCTTAAGCCACTTCCGGCGATGGACCCGCCCTGGAGGTCCTTCTCAAACAGATCCCCAGTGGCACCTCAGTTTATCCATTCCCGTTTTGGTTTCGCTGCTGTCATCCGGTCCCAATGCCAGAATAGGAGGAAAACCTGCAGGCTAGGAGAGAAGGGAGGGCTAGGCCTGAGGTTCCATCTTGGTCAACTCCGACTGGCTGGGATTTCCCCCTTCCTGTGTCTGGTTGGGTTCCTCCAACACTCACTGTGTATCGATAAACGACCCTGCCGTTCTTCACAACCTGCGTTGTGCTGCTAGTCCTGAGTGAAGAACTCTCATCCGAGAGATGGAAAATCTGGATCTGAGACTGCCAGTAACTAGCTGCGGCCTCCTAGTCAGTAAAGGGAAGGGAGACCAGGACGCTCCCAAGGACCCAACTTATAGCCCCTCCCTTTCCTTCTTGTCCGGGGACCCAGAACAGACCACAAGACGGAGGGTCCCCTGGCACAAATCAGGGGACCAGAGCGGAGGAGGAGATGGGGAAGGGGCGACCAGACAGGCGCCGCAGTGACATTGCGGGGGTGGTGGACGGTGACATTGAGTACCAGCGGGACCGGGCGCCTGGACCCAGCGGGGCCACTTCCTCCCCGGAGTTGCCCCAGTCCCCACCCGGCCCAGGTGCAGGGTTTACCTTCCTCCAGCTCCCGAATAGAAGCGGCGCGCTCAGGGCCGGACACCCCGGGTTGCCGGCCAATGTAGGCGGCTGGTTGACCAGACGCCCGCTGCCTTTCCAGACCCCAGGCCAGTGGCCCGGGGACCAAACGGCCCTTGGAATACGAAGCGGGTCCGCGGCGCGTCCGAACTGTCGGGCACAGACCGGGCATTCCCCTAGATGGCCGAGAATGCGGACGCTTGCCGGGCTCCTGCCTTGGCTCCAGCCTCGGAAGTCGGACGAGCTTCGGTGCGGGCTTCCGAGAGGCACTGCGATCCAGAGGCGGCTGGGGATCCTGCTCTCGGTGCAGCATCCCGTACCTGCGGCGGCGCAGAGGGCTCCGGAGTGGGACTGGCTGAGGGCGAGAGTGCAGAAGTGAGTGCTGCTCGGCCCCCGGTCCGAGTCGCGGCCCCCGCAGGCTCCCAACGCCGCTGCGTCCCGACCGCCTCTGGCGCATCTTGACTCCGCCGTCCACTCCAGCAGCGGGACCTTTATAACCTGCCCAGGGGGCCCGCCGGGCCCGATCACGCTAGGGGTGGGGGCCGCCGAGAAGCAACTAGTGGCACGCGGGACTCAGAGCCGCGCGGGAGGGGAGCTAGTGGTGACGGAACAGAGCACCGTAAGAAAAGGAGGGCAAGAAGGCCGAGTGCAGGTTCCGGATGGTTCCGAGTTGGACTGGAAACGAAAGATTTCTTCTCCCCTCTCCATTTCCAGAGAATGGTTCTGCCCAAAGCCGCTGCTGACCTGGGACTCCCGAGCCCGGACTGGGCAAGTCCCTGGCTGGGGGCAGCCCCTTCCCGGCTCCCGTGCCGGGGCTTGGGCTGCCTTCCCTGGTGTAGAAGCTGCCAACCCGACATTGTGCTTATGGTCTGGGGTGGCCAGTGCATGAAGGCAGGGTTGCGTCTTTCTCGATTGACTGGGCGAGACATTCCAAACTCCAGTGAGCTTCCAACGTGCTGTCCCGCCTGGCGCTGCAACCCCGACCCTCGCGTTCACACCCCCGTGCTCGCGCCACTCTACGTCTTCCATTTGATTGCGATTCCTGGTTCTTCACCTCACTTCCAACCCTAATTCGCTTTGCCCTCCTCTTGCCAGGTTGGCGAACCCCTGTTCTCCTGGGGAGACGCCGCTTAAAAGTCTCCCTGTGGCAGGGCGCGGTGGTTCAGGCCTGTAATCCAAGCACTTTGGAGGCCAAGGCCAGCGGATCACCTGAGGTCGGGAGTTCAAGACCAGCCTGGCCAACATGGTGAAACCCCGACTTTAAAAACATTTTTTTTAATGTTTAAAAAGAAAAGAAGATAGGAGTTTAATGTAGAGAGTGGACACATGTATTGTGCGGTGCTGCTGGGCTGGGTCAGGCAAAGACTGACAGAGACTAAGCTTAGCAAGCTGGGGTCACGGGCAACCTTGGTGAGCTGGGGTCATGGACAACTTCGGCAAAAGCAGTCTTGCAGGGCAGGGCATAGTGGTTCACACCTGTAATCCTAGCACGTTGGGAGGCCAAGGCGAGTGGATCACCTGAGGCCAGGAGTTCGAGATCAGCCTGGCCAACATAGTGAAACTCCATCTCTACTAAATACAAAAATTATCTGGGTATGGTGGCACATGCCTGTAGTCCCAGCTTCTTGGAAGGCTGAAGCAGGAGAATTGCTTGAATTCAGGAGGCAGAAGTTTCAGTGAGCCGAGATCGCACCACTGCACTCCAGCCTGGGCAACAGAACAAGACTCCGTCTCTAAAAAAAAAAAAAAAAAAACAAAGGAGTGGTCTTGGTGGTGGAGGTGAGAGAGATCAAAGAGGGGTGAAGAAATAATGGGAGGTAACAAAATGAAAACACAGAGGAGGCTGTGCACTGTGGCTCACACCTAGAATCCCAGCACTTTGGGAGGCTTAGGAGGGTGGATTGCTTGAGCTCAGGAATTCGAGACCAGCCTGGGCAACATGGCAAAACCTTGTCTCTATAAAAAAAAAAAATACAAAAATTAGTTGGGCATGGTGGTGCATACCTGTACTACTTGAGGAGCTGAGGTGGGAGGTCACCTGAGCACAGGTCGAGGCCGTAGTGAGTCTTGATCATACCACCGCACTCCAGCCTGGGTGACAGAGCAACACCCTGTCGGGAGGGAGGGAGGGAGAGAAAAAACAGATTACAGAAAACTGTATTGAAGAAATCTGCAAGAAGGGAGAGCTGGAAAAGGGCAAAGGAGCTGAAGGAGGACGTTCGTGCTGGGGGGTATGTTTTGAAGATAGGGGAGAGGACAATATGTTTACATGCTGATGGAACTGTTCCCTCAGGTAGGAGAAAACAGGTGCAGAAAAGAGAACCCATCTCCCAGGATAATTCTGGAAATGAAGGAACTTTCATAACCTAACCTGTTCTCCACCTTGTTCAAAGTGTGCATGTTTTCTGTGGTTTCTTTGTCAGTGGAAAGCTTGAAGGAGACACCACCCCAGTGTTTGCTGCGACAGTGAGGTTGAAGCACAGGAGGAGGTGGCTGTTTGGGCATGAGCACAGCCCAGGCTTCGTGAGGCTGCAGCGCCGCAGGCTCTGCTGAGTGGTCCTCCCACAGCCCAGCTCCTGGGACAGTCTGTGCCTCAGACATTTCTGCAGCCCCAACCACCAAGCACAGAACAGGGCATACAGAAGAAGCCTATTAGATTCCTGCTGAATCGAACTGTTCCTGGCCCACGAGGAAGCAGCCCTGGGAACCCCCTGGAGAGTTTGAGGGAGAAGAAGAAGGCAGTGGGATGGAGAAGAGATGAAGTCAGGACTCTCTGTGTCCTCCGCTCTCCTAAAAGCTCCCCCAGTAGTCTGCCCCTCTAGGTCAGGGCACCGGCAGCCTGCAACTCTGGCTATGGGCACCAGAGGGCAGTGCCAGCCCACACACCTCCACACATGGCTTCCTCACCTACAGGCTCAGTCGCCCCACAGCAAGCGCAGTAGGGATGGTGACTACATTTTACAGATGGAGAAACCAGGGCTCGGGGCCCCGACATACTGGAAGTACGAATTTTGGCCTGGCTGACAGATGTCTGCCTTTCCACGGCCTAGGGCTGTCCACGAGACCGGGGTGGTCTTTGATCCAGGCCTCTCAAGTGGTTTTTCGCTGCCCACCACCCACTCCCTTCCCTGCTGCTGCTGTAGGGAGAGAAATCAGACACAGCAGAGACCCTCGGGCTCCTGCCCTCCTTCCAAGTGTGCACCCACTGACCCTGCTGGACCTGAAAGAGGACAGGAGGGCGCAGAAGATTTGCCAGGCTGCAAAGCCAGACCACCCCCAACTAATTGTGCACAGCCCCCTGAACCTGGGCACAGTCACTCCAGTGCTCAGCCCTGGGCAGCATACAGGTGGCTCAGGCCCCTCCACCACCTCCCCCCCTGACCTGACGCTGGAAAAAGCCACCTGGAACAGGATATGTCATAGAGCCAGGGACCTGGGTGGGGCCAGGAACTGGGATTACTTTCTGCAGGGGAGCAGGGTGGAGGGGCACCCTGGACTAGCGACAGGGGAGACCTCCTCAACCCCGCTGCAGTCCTGCTGTCTCCTGCAAGCCTTTCGAGGGCCCTCCTCCCTCTCCTGTGGTGGTCTCTGATCCAGGCCTTCCCCTCCAGAACCAGGCAGTAGCTGCCATAGTTCCCCACCCCCACCCCAGGACCCAGGCACAGTCCCTCCTCACATCAGTGGAGAATGGGGAACTGGAGGCCTGAGGCCCCTCCACATCCCCAGAGGTTCCCTTTAACTTTTCTTTTTCTTTTTCTTTTTTTTTTTTTTGTGACGGAGTCTCACCCTGTCACTTGGGCTGGAGTCTGGAGTGCAGATCTTTGCTCACTGCAACCTCTGCCTCCTGGGTTCAAGTGATTCTCCTGCCTCAGCCTCCCAAGTAGCTGGGACTACAGGCACCCACCACCACGCCTGGCTAATTTTTGTGATTTTTTTTTTTCTTTTACTCAAGCTTACAGTCTATTGTGGGATAATCTTTGTATTTTTAGTAGAGACGGGTTTCACCCTGTTGGCCAGGCTGGTCTCGAACTCCTGACCTCATGATCCGCCCACCTCAGCCTCCCAAAGTGCTGAAATTACAG